GAACCAGGGATAGGGGTATTGCGTCACAGTAACGCAACTGTTCTTTAACCTTCTTTTAACAAAAAGGCATTAATTATTATTTGACCTATCAAATGAAAGTCGGCACTACTAACAAACGGGGACCAAAACTTACTCTTATTTGTTTTAGCTGATTTGACAGGGTAGACATAAGGCGTTCCATTTCTTCCTTTTCCGTTTCTAATTCCTTTATACGTGCCTGCTGCACATCAATTGTACACAGAGCGCGTTGAAGGTGCTGCTCCATTTCGATTCCTACAAAAGAACTGCATAATTTATAGAATTTACTGTATATTTGTGCTTGATCATACAAATGCTTGATTACACACTCCTGGTTACCCACGTCTCGCAGACGAGAGCATTCTTGTTGCATGAAATAACTGAACGAAAAATCCAGCAACAACAGTACTGCTTTTGAGGATGTGTAAACATAAAGAATTTTCATGATTTATGCTATGGCCTTCTCCTTCCTATTTTTATTTAAAAAGAATAAGCAGACTGCAGCATTCAGGTTGACCCTGGAACAGCAGATAACGAAGATGCGAAGAAATTCAGGAGGAAAGAAATTGTGTAGGAGAGAAGGTAAGAGCGAGATAAGACGTTTCGGTCCATTAAGTCATGATAACTATGAGAACTCACGCGCTTTTCGTTTATTATCAATTTAGTGGCAATCACAAGGAGGAGCAAAAGTGCAGTGAGGATGACAGGTTATTCATACCCTAAATCCATTTCTTAAACAACAAACCCATTTATCAAAATTCTCCTTTGTTTCACTTTTTCTTTTTTTCCCATCCATACCGTAACCCACCCCTATACCCCCCATGGGATTTTAATAAATACAAAAGTCAGAGCTGAATGTAGTTTTGTAAAATGATTAATGTGTTTTTGTATCCAGCGACTACAGCTGGATACAAAGGGGGTAAACATGGCGGGACACCTCCTCTTAGGGGCAGGACCAATCTTCCCTATACAGCCCCTGGTTTTCTTCATTCTTGGTCTTTTTTGGGGAATTCGTCAGAAACACGCCACGGACTTCGATCCGAAACTCCATTCAGTACACTCGACTCAACATCCAGAATTCACGACAAATCGTCTTCCCCTTTGTACGGCCCTGGTCGTCTAAAACGCAGTTCATCTCCACCTATTCTACCGGTCCTCGATCAGGTCTTTTTAACTATAATGTTGTTTAACTTACTTATTTTTCTAGCCAGGTTTAGATAAATTCAACATTATAAAAAACACGCTTCGT